ACAACGTTGTCGGCGTCTGCAAACAACAATTTGTCGCTTTTTAAAAACGCGCCAGAAGGCACGAAAAATAAAGTCCAAAGAGTCGTCCAGAGGTCCGCCAAGGTGCCGGACACAACTGGCCAAAACGATGAGGCCAGACGACCGAAAATGATAAAATATATATATATATATATCGTATATCGTACATCGTGTATATATATAAAACTGAAGAAGCCTCTTTTGGCGCCGTAAAAGCACCGAAGGTTGGCCAACAGAAGAAGAACACAGCGGTGGCTGAAATTGTTGATAGGTTAAAGGCAGCTTAAGTTGGAAGGATAAAGAACTGAAAATCGCATGAGTTATAGGAAGAAATGTAATATATTGGGGATAAGAATATAAGAAGTTAGTCTTTAGCTTTTCGGATCAGTCACTAACTAAGCCATAAGACCATTTCGAGACAAGTTGCGACGAAAAAGCACACCGAAAATATAGTTTTTTGGCCAAGAATACAGACTTCCCCCTTTTTGGTTATAAAATATTCAGCATTTTGATCACAGCCAAGGAAGTAGCTGTCCGAATGGGAAATGTCATACCTCGTTGAGTTCGTGTTTAAATTTCCTATAAAACTGTATCCCCACCTAAAAATTTCAAATTTTTAGTCATTTTTCGAAAAAATACGAGGTTAGCCCTTATGGAAAATGAGAAATTGGTTTTCTCATGATTTTTCCCTTAGTGTATGACGGCATTATTCCCATAACTAAGCCAATAATGGTCAGAATATGGAATGTATTACCTCATTGGATTCGTAATTAATTTCCTACAAAACTGCATTCCCACCTAAAAATGTCAAATTTTTAGCAATTTTTCGAAGAAAGAAGATGCAGTGCCTTTCCCTTTATCGAAAAGCCCAAAAAGTTCTCATAACTCAGCCAATGATCGTCCAAACTTAGAATGTCATACCTCGTTGATCTCGTAATTTAATTTCCCACCGATCTTTATTCAAGGTTAAACCCAAGGTTTTCAGACATTTTCGCTAAAAAGGATGGCGATGATCCTTAACGAAATTTCAAAATTGGATTCCTCCTTATTTACCCCCAAAAATATCAGAATTTCGTCCACAACTCAGCCAATATTGATCCGAATATGGAATCTAACACCTCGTTGAGTTTGTAATTGAATTCCCTGCAAATCTGCATTCACACCTAAAAGTCTTAATTTCTGTCAGTTTTTCGCTGAAAAAGATGATGTTATCCCTTGTCGGAAATGAGAAATGGGATTTCCCCCTATTTTCCCCTTTATACGACAGAGTTATTCCCATAACTAAGCCAATATTTATCCGAACATGGAATGCAATACCTCATTGAATTCGCCATTAAATTTCCTACAAAACTGTGTCCCCACCTAAAAATGTACAATTTTTGCCATTTTTTATAAAAAGAGTTGATGTTACCCCTTATCAAAAATGAGAAATGGGATTTCTTGAGATCTCCCCCCTAATGTGGCAGTTTTATTCCTATAACTAAACCAATAATGGTCAGAATATGGAATGCAAGATCTCGTTAAATTCGTGATTAAATTTCCTACAAAACTGTGTCCCCACCTAAAAATGAAAAATTTTTAGACAGTTTTCGAAAAAAAAGACATTGCTACCCCTTTTCAAAAATTCAAAATTTGAGCAAAAATTAAATTTTCGAAAATCAGTCAAACAGTGATAGAAAAAGTAAAAGTCGGTCGTTAGCTGAACAAAACAGTCACTCTTTTAGCTTAGCTTTTTAATTTAAGAAAATTATAAAGAAAAAACCTATCAAAAATGTTACCTTTTCTCTAAAAAGTAGTAAATCTGACTTCATGGCTTGAAAAGTCAGTAGAACTAGAGTAGAAGAAAGCCAATAATGATCGAAATATGAAGTGTGATACCTTGAAAAGTTTGTAATTTGACTTTCAATGAAATGGCATTTAAAATTAAGAAGATGGTTTTATGCCTTCTTTACCTTAAAATATGAAATATGAATTATGAAAAACCTCAAAACCTATGCCAAAAACTAGACTAAAAAGTGATGAGGATCGTAAGTTGCGATCGCTAACTGCTTAAAACAAGCGACATCGGCAACATAGGAACATCGACAATCAGGAAAAACAACAACAAAATCAACAAACAACAACAACAACAACGAAGCAACATGAACAGCAGCAACACGACGAACAACATTTAACCCAGAGTCTTGCAACGCTTTTCGTATAGTTCATTGAGCCTCGAACTCGAACCTGAGAAGACAATCGCTTGCTGCTTGCTCCTCTGTCTTTCTTCCTTCTTTATCCTCCTTCACCTTCTCCTCAACTTCTTCTTCCTCTTCGTCTTTACCGCCCTCGTCCCGCCCATTTCGTTCCGTCTATAAACGTCTATAACCTTCATTAAAAATTGTCTGCAGCGGCATGAAATGATTGATAACATCCGTCAATTTTGACATATGCGGCAAGGTCTGGACTTGAAACTTGCAACTTGCCACTTGCGATGATGTTGCTGCCTTCTGCCTGCTGCCTGCGCCTGCCTGCCGCTGTATGTAGGATGTTCGTTATAATTCTTCCCTCTCCTACTTCTTCTTCTCCTTGCTGGGCATTCTGTTAGCGAAAATGAGTCAATTCGTCAATCAATCAGTGTGTCAGTTGCTCATTTATAATGGCCAAGCATGCCCCCTGTCCGTGTCGGTGTCGGTGTGCTTGCCCCAAAACTCATCCATCCACTGGCGGGGTTCATTCATTCATTTGGCCTGCTTGCCTTCTTATTTTTTGTATTTTTGGTTATCAGTTTGCTTGAGGCAATGGCTACTGTCGGTTGCACGGGGCGTATGAGTAACAGGGGAATGACTGGCTGGGCAGAGCAGCTCCCTAAGCCTTATTAATGTGGGTCATTGTGGGGGAGGGTAATGGGGGAGTTGCGGAATGCAGGAGGCTGCGAAATATGATATATTTTCAGTGGCAAGCAGGCAGAGCCACCAAAAACGAAATCCAAAGCTCGTCAGCCACCTCGATTTGTCTTCTCCTGGCAGCGCTCCTTAGCAGAAACGTTTTTTTAGATTTGTTTTTGATGATTTAAGAAGAGTTTTTGTGATTTTTAAGCCGTGTTTAAGGATTGTTTTTAAGTTTTCAAAGTTTCAGTTTTGTTTTAAGAATGTTTTTAAGAATTTTTCATAATTTTTTAAAACATTTTTCTTGAAATTTGAAGTTGCTTACTTTCTGGATTCCCGGATTTTGCGGATTTTGTACTTCCCACTCTTTGGGGCTATCATATTTGGCCATCTCCTGCATTTCTGACTGGCTTCACTCCCACTTCCTTTAGCCATTCATATGGCCATCCTTCGACTTCTTCCTTTCTTCCTCTTTTTCTCACTTCCTCTTGCTTCTCCTACTCCTCCTTCTCCTCCTCCTCCTCCTCTGCTTGCCCTCTCTTCTTCGTTTTTGAAAACTTTTTGAATGAAAACAACATTTTCACACACAAGTTTGGCTTTTTATTTTTCGGTTTCCTCCTGCTCCGATTCCCCCGCTCTGGCAGCCAGCCTCCTAAGAATTATGTTTCTTCCTCTTGTGTTTATATTTTGTACCTGGTCACGCCCCCTATATGGGCCTCACCTTTTGGGAAAATGATTTCTTCCTCTTATTTTTTGTTTAAACAAAACAAAAAAAAGCAAGAGGAGGCAGAAAGATATTTTTTGGGCAACTCCATTGACTGATTGACTGCGAAAGGAGGCAGCTTTTGGGGCTCCTTGTTCGCGGGCATCTCCTTCTTTATCCATACACTCCTCCTCCTTCTCCTTCTCCTCCTTCTACTTTATCCACCGTTCCCCGCTTATTCTCCCCTCCTGCCTGCCTTCTCCTTTTTACTTTCCGCAACTCAAAGTTTCTCAGGCCTCGGGGCTCCATTTTAGCCTGGCCTCTATCATTATTCGGTTGCAACTTCCCTCGATTCGCACACAAATTTGTATATATCATATATATTATATACGGATAAATATATATGTTTTCGATATATATGGATATGTGAGTCTAAATATGCATGTGCCACGCCCTCAAAGCAACGCCCTTTGTGGCAGAACTAACAAGGTGGAAGCGACCGCAGCTGGTTTGGTTTGGTTTGGTTTGCTGCTCAGCAAATTAATATTTTGAAGGAGAATTTGAAAGTTTTAATCATTGTGATTAGTAATATGTATTAAGGAGTGCTTAATTTTAGTTTAAAGTTAATCCTTAAGTTAAATTGAGGTGTTAGAAATCAGAAAAAGTCAACTCAAACAGCTTTTCAGAGAGTTCTTTAAAGTTCCTTTTAGAAAACCCTCAAAAAGGTTAACTAGTTTGAAGGGAAAATAGGGGGAAAACTCCCCTGAATAGTTGGAAAAACTGTTATGGCAAAGGACGTACCTCCCCTCCCCCCCTCCCTTCTGGCATTTGCCAAATTTATCTAAGTGCAAAATGCAAAGTGCAAATTGTAAATCCTCAAATGTTTGCATCCGTCCAAGGCCACGCACCTGGGAATTGCTCATTTACAGGTGTGAGACTGTGTGTGTGTGTGTGTATGACCAATGGGGAGGTGTGTGTGTGGCCATCCTTCCCTCCCCCCTTACACACACCCACACACATGTGCAAACTTAATGAGGCAAGCAGAGCGAGGTGCTAATTTGCGCCTCGAAGGATTTTCCGACGCACAGTTGAGTGCTCTCGCAACCCGCCACCACCTGCTCGCTCGCCCACTTGTTTTCCACTTCAACTGACCGCCGCCTTTCCTTTGCCATTAACAACAACAACAATAATTAAAAGGTCACTAGAGGTCACGAAACTAATTGCTTGGTCAGTTGATGAAACAAGGAAAATTTAAGGAAATTTGTATAGAAAAAGCAAAGTTAAAGATTAGAGGAAAATGTTAAGTAGATTGGTAACTGATGAAGTAATGTCTTCTTGATAAGAAAAATTCTATGAAAAAGTCAAAAAGTTTCGTCGACTAACTTTTAATCTTCTTTTCCTTTCCTTTCCAGGTCGCAGTGAACCGCCTGTGGGCGTTGGCGATCCCTGCGCCGGATGCAACAAGCCCATACTGGACAAGTTCCTGCTGAATGTCCTGGAACGCGCATGGCACGCCTCCTGCGTCCGCTGCTGTGAATGCCTCCAACCGCTAACCGACAAATGCTTCAGCCGCGAGTCGAAGCTCTACTGTCGCAACGATTTCTTCAGGTGATTTTTCTTTCTTTACTTCTTTAAGAGTTTCCCAAACAACCCATCACCCAGCCATTATCCTTTCTATTAAAACCCATAAATCCAACCTAAATCGGTTCTGAAAAGAGATCTCAAAGCCAGTAAAGGGGTGGGTGACAAAAAACAGAGAAACAAGGACGTGGACGGGCGGGACAAATCAAAACCGAAGCAATTAAGTCAAGTTGGCAATCGCGACTTTTGTGTTCCATTCGATTTCCCCAGCCAGCCAGCCAGCCAGCCAAGCTAATTGGAAAAAATCGCAGGAAATGGAGGAAAAATCTCGAGAAGGACAGGCGAAAGCAATTAACATGCAAAATACGTGGAACAAATCAAAATGAAATCAAATGCGAGGCACTCTGATTTTTCACTATAAAAGAAAAGAGGGAAAGGTAGGTAGGTGGGTAGGTGGGTGGATGGCCTAGCCTAGCCTAGGAGGTGTCCTATCAATCAGCGCCAGTCGGAAAAGGTTAACAAGTGACGGCGACAGACAAAAGCCATCCATAAAGCAGGAGAAATAAAGAAAGCAGAAGGGAGGGAGAAGGGAAATGGAATCCAGGATCAGGATTGAAAGGCAGGCGGCTGGCTCCTAAAAGGCACAAAACAAAATCAAATCGAATGGCCAATTCTGAACGGCAAGTGCTGGCAAGTGATGGATTTTTCTGAAAAGCAAGAAAGGAGATTTGGAAAATAGAAAATTGCCAAAAATGAAAACTCCATACAAACTCCTTATATCTCTGAACTAAACACCTTCTTTTATAACCCATTTATTAATTAACTTTTCCCTTCCTTTGCCACCTCTCACAACAGACGTTACGGCACCAAGTGCAGTGGCTGCGGACAGGGTATTGCGCCGTCGGATCTTGTGCGAAAGCCCAGGGACAAGGTCTTCCATCTGAACTGCTTCACCTGCTGCATTTGCCGCAAGCAATTGAGCACAGGTGAGCAGCTCTATGTGCTGGACGACAATAAGTTTATCTGCAAGGACGACTATCTGCTGGGCAAGGCGCCATCCTGCGGCCACAATTCGCTGAGCGGTAAGTTAATGGGGGAAATTTATCAAAAAATTCTGATTAATAAGACTAAATTCTATAAGGAAATATGTTAGTTGAGTTTTGAAACATTTAAATTATTGAAAATATCCCTGAAAATATCCCTTTTTGGTCACTCTTTCCCTACCCTTTATTCGAGTGGCCTAATCAGCGCGCCATAAATTTTACCGGACATCCCAATTGGGGCTCATCTTTGCTAATGAGAGAGTCGTTCCTGCTACCCTGCTACCCCCTGCTACCTCTCTACCACCATCCCATAGTTAGACCCTAAAAGCCTCTCACTGCCTCTATCTGCCTGTTTCCATCAGCAATAAATACAAAATTACGCATACGACACGTGGACCAAGCGTTTTGGGTATATTTAGTCGCAATTTGTGCCACGCCTCGCACTTTTACCGACCGAAAAATTATTTGAATTTCTGACGCAGTCTGTCTATTTGTTTGCACTAATTGTTTATCGTTTGCCATAGAAATATTTGCCATTCAAATTACCGTGGGAATAAAAGAAAATGTTGCCATTGTTTTTCCGGCCTTCTGTTGATCTAGCTGATTGTTGATTTTTCTAACGCAGCTTTAACTATGCTTATTTTTTTCTTTTTAATTTTTCTTCTTTTTTTGTATACAACGCACACGGTGTTGTCTTTGGTAATCCTGGAAAATATATATTTTCTGGATTTTTGCATTGGCCAAGAAAGCGTTGGAAAAGTCATGGGCTAAATGCTTGGCAAATATTGACACAAATCGCATAAATAAAACAAAGTCATGCATAAGATAAAAGGGGGAGTGTACGTACACAGGAGATAAGGTGGGGGGGTTGGGTGGTTTGACTGCTTACATGATGAGAGTTTCAAATTGAGAAAAAAATCAAATTTAGTTAAGGAGTTGCCTTTGGCTAAATTATAACTGAAATTGCTTTTAATTAAGAAAATTATCAATTCTATTTTTTTTTAAATATTTTCTCAAATTTTCTTTACTGCCCTCCCCCCTCCCTCCTTGCACATTCTTCGCTAATTTAAAAATACCGCCGTTCTTCAAGAGAACATTTTAAAGCTTTTCCTGTTTTCCTTTTCTTTTTTTCTGCCATAATTTTCACATTCCTTTCGTGGCCGAAAAATTCTACCAGAAATGGGGCTGGCAAGGCAGCTGGGAAAAACTGAAAACGCATTAAAGCCAAAAGCAGCTGCAAAATGCTGCGCCCCTGCCTCGCCGCTTTGCCTTTGTTTACCCTTTTCACTCCACGGCCAAAGTTTTAAAGGATGTGCATGCATGTATGTGTGTGTATGTGTGTGTGTGTGTTTGGGCAAGTGCGAGCATGGGTTAAGCTTTAAAGTTGGCCGGATAATTATTTGACGTTTGCCAAGTTTTCACTGGCCAGAAACGGCAATTAAAGGAGTTTAAGGAGATTTCTATAAACTTTAGGGATTGCAATTTTTGGGATAGTTAAAAAGAGTTTTTGATATTAACTGACTTTTATTTACAGTTTTACAGGACTGCTAAAAACCTAAAAATATTTTTAAGATATTTCAAAATTAGATTTCCAAAACTTTCCCCTAAGATTTTTCTTATTGCTTCCCCTTCAGAAGAAGAAGAAAAAAAGCAACAATAAATACTTGAAAATTCGTTTGCTTGTTGGCAAAATGATTTTCGTAGCTTACTTAGCGGCGTTAAATATTTCAACGCTGCCATTTTCTCTCCCTTTCCCCGCTCTAAGAGAGTCATGGCGGGTGGTTGAGAGAAATGGCGAACAGAGACAGGAGAGCTGCGGCGAAAAACAAAAAAAAAAAAGTCAAGTGAGAGAGAAACCTTCTCTTGGCAGCTGCGCACTAGCTGTTAATGCGAAAACGAGATGCAAGATGGTAGTGCTGGCGTCGCTGTCAACGTCGACGCAGGCAGAACAAAATGGCTGCGAGCCCCAAAAAGTAGGCAAGCATTTTCAACCGCCTTTCCAACTAGCTGCATCTCTCTCTCTCTCTCTCTTTCTCACTCCTCCTTTAATAATGCCCTGCCCTGCTAAATTTTCCAGCCAATAATTCAACAATAATTATTATTTATTTCCCTTTTAAAAATTTTTTAACAATTTTTTAGACTCAAAAAAAAAAACAGAAGGTGAAAATTCTGCTGAAAAATGTCTTAAAATTTATGAGGGAAAAGCTAGCTGGAGAAGCTGGCAATGCTGCAGCGTCTGCTGCCTTGTATCGCTGCAGCGAACGCTGGCCGAGCAGCTGCGTCGCAGTCGGCAGCGACGCTGGTGGAAAAGGAGCGCAGGTCATTAATGTTTTGATTTTAATTGCGTTAATTACGTGCAACGGATTTTTCACTTAGCCACAACAGCCGAGCCTCCGCAGAATTTATGCAACTATAATTTGCTGTTTTTTTGCCTTTTTTTTTTGCCTTTTTTCATCGAACAACAAAAGTGTCAACACATCAAGTATACGCCTCTTTGGACGCCAAAAGAAAACAAAAGAAAAAAGAAAAACCAAAAGGCAACAAAACATTTTTCAAAAAGCAACGTGCGACGCTTTTTTTCTTCTCGTGCTGTATTTATTTTTATTTTCCGCCCCGTTAATAATTTTTTTTTTTTTTTCATTTTTTCATTTGTCGCTCTCTCGACGCGTCAATTTATGGCTTGTCATATAAATTAAACTGTTTGCCGTGCGATAAACAACAACAATGAATGGCCGGGCAGCGGCGGCAGTGGCGGCAGCGTAACTGAGGTAATAAATCAAAATACAAATAAAAAAAGACAAAAAAGATCCAAGAAAGCGGGCAACACAAAGTGCAATGGAGTATAACTTTTGAGATAAAACTTGGCAGTCAATGAAGTGCTGACAAAAAGAGAGGAAAAAAAAGGCAGCAGCAGCAGGCAAACAGAACTAATTACCATTACCAAGTGCTGGGCCAGTTCCTGGTTTAAAGTCTGGCAAAGTAATCATCTTAAAAGTCAGTTCCAAGGTTGGCAGATCTAACGAATGTTGGCTATTAAACTTGAAGAAGTAATTGCAAATCTTTGTGATAAAATTAATAAGGAAAATAAGCAACATTTTAAAGGAGTTTGTCAAGCAACCGGAAATGTTGATATTTTCAAAGAAAATTATAGTTTCTGAATGAAGAATTTCCACTTTCCATTTACAAATTTTCTGCTGTTTCTGGAAGAACCAAACCAAGCTCGTTAAACTCCTGCCTTGTAAAGAATATAAAAAATAATTAAAAAGTAAATATATTAAAGAAAAAACGGCAAATCCTTTTGCCATATTGAATTAGCCAACTTTTAGGCCTTTCCCTTCTCCTTCTCTTTAAGCCTTAAACTCTGTGAGTTATCAGCAACACTCCAAAAAAATGACTGACGGCACTTCAGCATAAACATGTGGGGGAGTCCTTATATATATATATATCGGGCTATATATATGTATCAAGACTGTATATATGCATGTGTGAGTTGCGTACTTAATGACCCTTAAACGACCTTAACTCAGACTTGGCCTGTTGTTCGTTTTTTTTTTTTTTCGAGAGGATTCTGTTGTTATTTTTATGACGGCCGAAAAACAAAATTTTTATGAACCCACACACACAGACACACACACAGACACACAGAGGCACATTCTCCTCCTTTTTATGCCTTCTGGTTTATTGTCCTGTTTGCTTTTGTGGTTGTTGCCGCCGCCGCCGCTTTTGTTGCTTTCTTACGCCTACTTTTTTTTTCGTTGCTGTTTTTCCTGGCCAAAAGGGTCAAACACGCATATGGCCAAAAAGTCCCTAAAGTTCATCTTCTCTTTTTTATCTTTAAGCCAGCGATAAGCAGCTGGTCTCTTTTGAGTTTTAAAGCCGAACAAAATGCAGCTTCTTAAGGGAAAACGTTGCAATTTCTAGGCTGAGGACCACTAGGCGTATTAGTAATATTAATAGTCATGATATTAAAAAAACCAATTTAAGGTTTTCCTTTGCCATTTTCCCACATAACAACCTGATTGCCTGGCTAACCCTTAACAAAACCTAACTAATGGGTATCCCCTTGGTCGTATCCTGATTTCTGCGTTGCCTTTAAGCCCGTTCAGCTACATGAAAAATGCCGCAGATTTACGGTTGTCATTTTGCCGGCTGGTCACGTAATATAGTACTCTTATTCTCGATGGGCAGGCAGCAACCCGGGTAAATCGTAGCCCTATCCCCCTCCCCCCCCTTGCCACGCCCCACCAACGCCTACATTTAGCTACAGGCCTCGACCGCTGCTGCGGTTGCCACTTCTTTCGTTCCCTCTTTCTCTTTTTCTTTCTTTCCTTCCTTCTCTCTAGGAGCCTTGTTTTTTTTCCATTCGCATTTTTATTTTTATTTGCAGTTTCAGTTTTTGCAGCGGTGGCAGTTTTTGTTCAGTCAGTTGGGTTACATGACTTCTATATGTAGTTGCTACACCGGAAATAAAGTTGGGTGACTTGAGTTTGGGTTTTGTGAGAGTAAGTTAAGGGTTAAGTGAAGGAAAAGGCTGGGTTTTTGGGGGTTTTTCAGAGACTTTTAAGGGGTTAAGTTGGTTGTTTAACTTTGTAAAGTTGAAAAAGTTTCATTTTTATCATTATTACATATTAATAAACACATTTTTAAACTCATTTTCTAAGTAAGAAAAGTTTTCCTTAACAAAAAATCACTAAAAAGCCAGAAAGTTCCCCCTTTTTCCACCTTTCTAAGGGCATTTTTCCTTCTCTAATGATCTCTCGAACGCCTTTTCCCCTTAGCCACCCCCTGATTTCTCTCAGTGTTTGTATATATTTATCCCCAGCTATACAAGTATTTATATGTACTTTATTTTTTTTCTGCCCATTCGGGGCCTTGCAGCTCGAAAAGTTTATGGCTTTGGCTGCTGTGGTCCAATCTGTTTCCCCGTACAAAAAGAAGAACAAGAAAAATATATAAAAAAAACGAAAAAAAAAACAAAAACCAAAGGCGAAAAAAAAAAAGTAAAACCGTTAAAGTTTATTTGACATTTACTTGGGCTA